GACATATGAAAGAGATCAGTCAAGAAACGCGACTCTGGACAGGTGAGTTAAAACAGACCAGAGAGAAAAGTTCCGAGGCACCTGTTGCCATTAGGTTAGCTCAAACTTTGACAATCAACCCAAGCATGTCGGAGGAGAGCAAATTCCCTGTTATGGTTTATACCTGATTGTTTGCCTCCATGGACAACCACAAAAGTAGCACATGCAGATAGCATAGAACAGTGGTCCTCAACCTTTTGGGACTGCCGGGGGTGGGGCCATGCATGTGCCACACGCCCAGGGGTGGCACCATGCATACGCCGCACGGCCGGGGCGGGGGCCACGCATGTGCCACTCGCCTGGGGGTGGCGCTGCACGCCCTGGGTGCAAGAATGGCTCGGGCCAGCCCTGGTCAGTAGACGGGCGCACATAAAAGCCCCGGCAGGCGCCATGGCGCCCACAGGCACCGTGCTGGAGACTACTGCCTTAGAATCCTAGAACACTAGAATGGGAAGGAACCTTGAGAGGCATCGAGTCCAGTCCCCTGCCCTCGTAACTGGACCAAGCCCCACCTAGATTATCCCTCAACCCTGCTCTCCAGAGCTACCAACTAGGCAAATCAAAACCCTGCAAGAGGAATTGAAACGTTGAGCAGCAGGTTCTTTTCCATTCCAAGGCCGTTTTCACAGAGACCAGGGTTGAAAATGCCACACGTTTCCAATGTTCAGCACCTCTGTGTGCAGCCAAGAGCAGGCTGAACAAAATGCAGGGGGAACAGGTGGCTCTAACCAAGTGGCATGAACATGACTCTCCCCAAAATGGGCCTGACACTTGGATTACATGGACTGTAGTCCTCTTACATGGACTGTAGTGCAATTAGTCCCGGTGGGCCCTAACAGCAGGAAACTGGCTTTAAGTCTGTGCTCAGGAACAGTCTCCTCTCGCAGACAACCGGTGCCTTGGATTTCCCAGCCAAGTGCACACTGCTCTGCCACGGCCCTTTGCCCTGTGTATAGTGCACAGACGGTGCTGACCTCTGCATGGCAGTTGTGCTCCATTAGAGCTCCTAGACCTAGCAGCTGCATTCCTTGTTTCTAGAGAACTCCAGCTCCCACACTGACACTATTAACTAGAGAATGGTTCCATATTCCCCTCCAGTCCGCACAATGCAGAGCTGGCTCTATGTCCAGCCTCCAGCGGCCATGAAATCCTGCCGCTGCGCAGAATGTGTCCTGGTGATTAGGTTCTGAGGGAGAAGTTAACTAGAGGCAACCCCCTGGAGCAGGCTGTGCCCCCGACTCTTTCCTTCTGGCCTTCCCGTATTAGCTGCTGCTAGCTGGGGGTTATTTGCCGACTTGGGTGTTTTAAACAGAGGCAGGACAGGGAGGTCTGCTGCTGCTGACGCCCATTTGCCCAAGAGATGAAAAGCGACGACATTTCAGGTTCTATGCTGAATTAGAGCATGAACGTGAGGCTGGCCATAAAAGGTCTGGCAGAAATGGCCAGAGGTAGCGCAATAAGAATGCTTGGCAGCAGTGTTCCCGGTGAGCTGGGCACTTGTGCAGACACGCAGGAGAGGTTCCAGTGCCACCACGCTGATCAGCAGAGCACCCACAGCCAGGCATTGTGTTTCTCCTGGTGGTGCACATCACACATGCCTCTGTGCACACCAAGATCCACACCCGGGTGGAAAAGCTTAGCAGGAACATTGTGTGGAGGAGCATGAAAGCAAACCAGCTAGCAGGCCTGCTGATGTGCAAGAGATCAAGTTCTGTGCAAACCACAGAGGAGCATTAACTGTAGTTACCCTAAGCTTAGAATATACAGGCAGTCCCCGGGTTACGTACAAGATAGGGGCTGTAGGTTTGTTCTTAAGTTGAATTTGTATGTAAGTCGGAACTGGTACATATTGTAGGGGAAACTCTAGCCAAACATTTCTCCAGAGCTCAGTTTTATTCTCCCACACCTCACTTCCCTCAGTCCTTTATTCTCAAGCTGAGGTGTCTGCTGAGAAAAGCCGCTCCGCGTCTCCCTGGTCTGCTGGGGGGAAGCAGCCAGTGCGGGGTTGCCTCACCCCGTTTGTAAGTAGGGATCCGATGTAAGTCAGATCCATGTAACCCGGGGACTGCCTGTACTCTGGTCACAGGTGGGTTGCAGAGACTGAGGCAGGAGGAGTTGGCAGAAGAGAGCAAGTCCAGGGGATGGTCAAAATGTTCCTACTTCAATGGCAGGCAGTTCTAGGAGTGCGCAGAGCCCACATTGGCTTCAATGGGAGAGGGGCTGCCGGGCCTCTCTGAAAAGCAGGCTCCTTATTTAGGTGCTGGACCATGGCCTTAGAAGCCTCACTCTGTGGCATGTTTCTCTCAAAGTGGTGTCAAATGGCTACAAAACTAACCCTCCTCCCCCCGAGAACAGCTCTAAGAACCACCAGAAACGGCAAAAACCTTGCAGAACAGGCAAAACGAAGCACCTCCCTCGCTCCCAGTTCATACGCAGCCCTGGGCTGCCTCCCGAACAGACCCCAGGGGTTATTCAGATGTGTGTCAGATGAACATGTGATAACTGGCTCCCAGGGATCTGCTCCCGGCAAGTCCCCCAAGAGTCTCAAAGCACTTCCAATGCAACCATTAGGCTGCTCTGTGCTTTTCATGCACTTTGACCCCTCCTGGAGTCAGCATATTCTCAGGCACTTTATAAGAGGTCTTCCCCCAGCACCCAAGTCTCAACATTCCTACCTCCTCTACCTGCCAGACTGAGGCGACATCTAGACTGCGGTACCAGAGGTACTGCAAAACCCTGCCACGTCCAAGGAACGCGTTTGCTCTTCTGCTTTTTTCACGGAAGAGCAGACGCACTCTGTTGGGAAGCCCTGCGTACCTCACGTCACGGGGCATAAGGGCTCTGTTGAAAGAGGCGGCTTTTCCGCCATTTCGCTCCGGATAGACTGGGCCAAATGGCAGAAAAGCCTCTTCCGCAAAAGCAATTGGAAAAAGTTACGCAAATTTCAGAGCACAATTTGCACAGCTTTTTCCAATAAAGCCCAGTAGTCTGGACCTAGCCTGAGTGTTTAATACTAAAAATATAAATGTCACCCTTAGTGCTGCTTTGGGAAGCCTGATCCCAGATACAATGCCCTCCCCTCCCACGGCTCATGAGAATCCAGCTGGAACTGCACGTGTGTAAATACACAGGGCTAGAATTTAGTCTGAACTAAACTTTGTGACCCACAGAAACGGGATCATCAAGCTAAACATTTACTTTCAAGAGTACAACTACAGAACCATCTCGGAGTCTGCTGCTACAACTGTAAGTGCTGCAGCAGGCTCCTGCTGCTAACAACCCCGCCATAGCATGTGTCCCCGGCCTTTTCCCGAAGCCAAACACTTACAGAGTTCCCACTGAAATGACTCGGTCTCTGAGCAGTGTCCTCGCAGCTCCCCATAGAGATTAATCTGAAGGATTTAGGGGTGTCCCCGTCACCTGGACTGTGTGGTAAACGCACTGATGTAGGGCAGTGGGGGACAGCACGTCTAATCCTGGTCAGCACCGCTCTGTACAGGCTGCTTCCTAACCCGTTCTTCATTGCTGCTGCTGCTGCGCTTCTCCTTTATCCTCGGGGGCTACAGGGTGAGGTGGGATGCTCAGGAAAACTGTGAAATCTCCTTTGCAGTGAGCAGCCTTCTCGCCCTCTGTACCTGCAGCATGAGGGGCTGAGCTAAATGCCGCAGAAGTGATGTAGGTGGCTAGTCACCTCGTTAGCGGTATCCCCCGAAATACACAGCTGTCCGGCTGCTCCTGGGGCCGATGGTACGGGGCCCTGACCTCACTTCCTTATTTCAGATTGTGTGGCTCCTGTCAAGCCTGGGAGGCCAGTTTGGGTTCTGGATGGGAGGCTCGGTGCTGTGCCTCATTGAATTTGGAGAAATCATCATTGACTTTCTGTGGATCACCGTAATTAAGATCAGCAACTGGGGCAAGGGCCTGAAGCAGAAGCGAGCCCGGGCCCAGTACCCAGACGCGCCTCCAACAGTGTCCGAGCTGGTGGAGGCTCACATCAACCTGCGCTGACTCAGACAGCGAGGCAGAGGCCAGTTGAACAGCTCAGAACCTCACGCTGCACTTGGCCGCTGAGGAGATGCCGGCTCTGCCTGGTCATTCCCTCTGCACTGGGCTCTGTTCTTTCTGAAAGCTGCAGGGGATGCAAAGGCCACAAAGCTCATTGTAAAGCAACGTTGCCCAGAGAGCCCGGCAGGCAGGCACTGACATGACTCAGACAGCGAGGCAGAGGCCAGTTGAACAGCTCAGAACCTCACGCTGCACTTGGCCGCTGAGGAGATGCCGGCTCTGCCTGGTCATTCCCTCTGCACTGGGCTCTGTTCTTTCTGAAAGCTGCAGGGGATGCAAAGGCCACAAAGCTCATTGTAAAGCAACGTTGCCCAGAGAGCCCGGCAGGCAGGCACTGACATTAGGGTGTCATTCACTGCTGTCATCTGGTCAGTCCTCAGAGAGTACGGGCTCCTCGGCACGTCCCCCTCCCCCACAGGCACCTGTACCTAGAAAGTGCTGATTTGCAAGCGGTTCCTGTGATCAGTAGCTTTTCAGGGAGTGATTGTGATGAAGTAATTGTACTGCTACAAGCTTGCTATCGGAATAAAGGCTGTCAATGACAATGGGAGATTTAGTAAATGGGAGAAAAGTCAAAGGAGAGACTGAGCTGTCCATGGCACGTGAATTCAATAGTGATTTTGCTCGATGTACATTTCTAGAAACAGAAAAATCCAGACGGCAGCCTGTTCTCCACACACGCCTCTGCCCAGCTAGCTGGCAAGTAACAGAACCGGCAGGACCCCACCCATGCGATCTCTCTCTTAGGTCCTCTCAACCTTTCTGCCTTCAAATAACCAGCAGTATAAACAGCAACCTGCTCCAGACAAGTTGCTGGCTGCTTGCTGGAGCCCTTATCCTTTTTGTTTGTGTTCCTATGCTCACTGCTCTGGTTTCTTGTGACTTGTTTCCTGCAGATGGCACATTTGTTAATATATGTTAGAGGTAAACAGTTCAGATTCCAATAAAGATGCAGGCACATCTACCAGGGGGAGGGGCGGCTCACTTAACAGTATCCTTCTTAGCAGAACCCCCAGCGATCAGTACTGTTTCCTGGTGGCAGAGTGAGCCACTGCTGGTACAGGTGAGGGCTACATACGGTGAAGATTTGGCTCAAGCTTCCCTAGGCAGCCAGCTCTGCCGCTGCAGCAGCATTACTTAGCCCTGTGGTTCCAATTTGCAGACAGCTCCCGGGAGCTGGGGTTGCTATTATCGAATCAAATCTCCACAGGGCAAGTGAGCCTGGATCCCGCACGGATGGCCCAGCTGTGAACCACTTCCTTGTGAGGTAGTAGCAGCTCCGTCCCACTGCCCCTCAACCAAGCAGCAAGTCTAGTTGATAGGTTTCCAGAACTTCAGGAGAAGACAAGTCCTGAGACAGGGTACAAGCAGTCCTGAGGACTGTCCCCAGCTCAGTATTCCCAGCTGCGTGGCCATGGGTGAGTTATCTATACCCCTACCTGTAAAGCTGGGCTAATACGGTCTCACATACCAGAGTGCTGGTGAGGCTGCTGAGATTCACAGCTGAGAATTGCTGTCAAAGCGCAGTGCTATTAATGAACCACTAAACTCTCAAGTCTCAGGCTGGCTGGAGACTCCATTTCTTCTTCACCCAGCCACTGAAGTGATCATCTTCATGCACAGCAGCACAACTGATGTAACAAAATTCTAGCAACACACACCTTAACAATCACACAATTAAATTACTAGCCCAGCAGGCCCCGGTGGGCGCAGTGCTCAGCACGTCGGTGGGCCCCCGTGTCACACCGATGGCCTGGCGGTAGAACCGTATTGGAAGAAGTCCGTGGTTTGGAATTCTGAATTCTTCCAGCAGCGTTCCAAGCACTAAGCCGTGCAGGCTGGATAATGCTAGCGCACCCAGTGAGAAGGGGCTGCATTCCAGAGGCCCGTCTCCTCCCGTTCCCAGTCCACATTTTGGGTAATGGATTGGGACAGAGGCACAACCCAGTGAACCAGGGCTGACAGTCTATAAAGCACACTGACTGACTGCCGCTCTGCCCCAGCTGGGGCAGCTTCTGAGAGCAGCAACTGAGTGTTTTTTCCTTTCGACATGAGACAGGATTCAGTGAGAATGATTGTAAGTGGGATTAGTGACCCATTCTCTAGGGCCGCAAACTGCCATCAGTTCCAGCTGGGCAGATGCCTGCCCCCACAGAGAGCCTCAGTGGCTCAGAGCAAGCGTCCCCCCCTCAGGGCTGCTGACAAGCTGGGATTTGAAGAGGAAAGCGCTGGCTTTCTTTCCACAGCTGGGCAGTAGCCGCTGGGGGCTCTCTCACCATTAGTTTTCCTCAGGGGAGCCATGTGCAGTCTCCATTTTAAAAGTTTCTACCAGTTAGAAAGTTTTATTTCCTGCATCTACAATGGGGAACCAGCGTGAGCCCGTCCACAGGATGGTTGGGGCAGCTGCTCCAGCCCCATGCTTCAGGGGTATGTGGGGCTAGCACAGCACGGGTCGGCCGCAGCACTACCGGCCCTGCCCCACTCCAGCTCGCAGTGTCACTTGGAACGGGGGGCAGCAGGGGCTTAGGAAAGGGTGGAATGGCATTGGGGGGCAGAGCACAGGTTGGAAGAGGCAGTGTAGGGGCAATGGAGGGTTACTCCAGGTCCTGCATCCCTCTAGGGACGGGCCTGTAAGGAACATGGTTCAGAAAAAACAGTTTATAAAGAAGTAGAAGCTTTCTGATTACACTCACAGAGAGAGAGGAAGAATATAATGAGTAACAACTGAACATAGCACAGAACAGAGGGGACACAAGTTTCCTCATTAAGCCATAGCAGCCCTGACATTCATTTACATCATAATTTTGGAGATTTCTACTTCCAAAATCAAGCACACCAAAGGCCTTCTCCTATATTCACAACCTCAAATTGTTAAATACTTGAGAATACACATTACACTGCAAATCTCTCACATCCCCCTATTGAATGCTTACTAGAGAAGAGCCGGAGAGACAGAAATCTCTGCTTTCACAGACTGCAGGGATAATATACTAAAAATGAACGTGAGCTACAATTTATCATCTGTTCCAAAGTTTAGCATTTACAGTGCATTGATTTCTTTCTTCCTTTTGTTAGTTGAAGTTATTAGCCACCCAAGGTGTATGCTTAAACAAATACCCTAAAATCTACCAAGATCTACCAAATCAAACAAAGCAACATCAGGAACCAGGTTCCTAAGAATTTTTATGGCTTTTTTCTCTCTACATAAATGAACATTTACTGGAGTCCTATAGCTCAGTTCCTGGCATCACAGAAGTGAAACAGAAATCTCCTAGTCTATCAACCCATGTTCTGATTTCTAACAAAACATGTAGACAGTATCATGAGCTTTCGTGCGCACAACCCACTTCTTCAGAAGTGTCCATTATCATCTAACTTCAGAAGAAGGTTGTGCCCATGAAAGCTCATAATCCCATCTACATGTTTTGTTCGTCTTTAAGGTAATCCTAGACTATTCGTTGTTTTTTTGAGTTTTTCTAAGGTGGAGGGATTGTTAAACCCAACGGTTCAAAATATCATGAATCAGGTTCCAAAAATGAGATGATTTTTAAATTCTCATTACTTTAAGCCAACGTGAGGACTTTATTCTTGGCCTTCTGAAGTATGAGCCTTTATGGGTCACATTTTCCACTTTCTCTTTGCAAGCTAGATTATAAAAACACATGAACATTTTCACATAAGCATGTAACTCCAGGAGCTGGAGCTCTTAAAAAGCACACACAAAACCATGACATTTGCAGGAAGCAGCTGTTGGTGGGGCATTCTCTATCTAATACAGACCTACTACATTGAACACTGCTAGTGCCTCTGTCAGCCCCGGTACCCACCAGGGTGCAAGGAGTAAGGGAAGTAGATGGAAGAGTTTCTCCCGTCGACCTCCCATAGCGGAACTGCCACAGAAATTTGATGTAAGGTACGTTGACTGCAGTTACACTATTCCGATTGCTGGACTTGCATATCTTAAATCAAATTTCTCCCCCAGTGGAGACCTGGTCTAGAAATCACTTCTGCTCTTGATCCACCAGAACCCTGATGAGTTAATCTTTCAGGCATATTCAAGGTCTGCCTTGTTTCTTGGGCTACTGAGGAGGAGCAGGCTGGGGGAGGTCAGTAAATAGTACTGGCAGTCCTTTGTATTGCATTTTCATTTATGGGCTAGAGGCTGAACCTATACTCTGGCACTAGAGAGAGATCTACAAATGCAAAGGAACACATAACTAATGCCACATCATAGCAGTTTGCAAACGAGACAAAACCCGCATGTTCCCAGCTAATCAATATTTTAGTCTCCCTCAAAACACTGGAAGTGCATTAGCTAGCTCAGGGAGACAGCGTTCATTTTGTCAGATCCAGGGAAAAAGGGCAGATCCAAGATGTATCCATTTTAACCTTCTAGCTGTCCTAAATGCAGGAGATAATGAGAGTAGGTAGTAGACTCTAATTTTCCATATATTGCTCTAGCATTCCTATAACTTCAATTTGCATATCTCATCTAATCACCACCTACAATAAACAATCAGCATTTCAAAAGGAGTCAATGGAGCCATTCTGTCAAACATCTGCCTTGAAAATGTGGCTCTCTCGCTTCCCAAACACACGCGGACCAGCACAGCTCCCACACTGGGTGGAGCAAAGGGGTGAAACTCCACCTCATTTCCACAGGATCAGATTCCCTGTTGTGTGTGAACACTGACTGCGGAGCCAACTCCACAGCAGACTGGGCCTGACCCCAAAACTCTCACCATGCACAGGTGAGCCCACCCCAGCACTCCAGCAGGGTTGAGGCATTTTAGGGCCCCACTATCTGCAGCAGATGCTTAGGGATAATAAAAGAGGAGCCTGCGGTCTGATGCAGTACATGTAATTAACCCGCTTCTCCCTTTAGTTGGTTTGCGCCTTATTCACCTGTGTGCTAGTGCTTGAAGACGACAGAAGCTAACAGC